AGAGGCTCTGGAAAGAAGTGGTTTGCGTCAGGGAAAGGGTGGGCTTGATAGCGACATAGTATCTTGGGAGTGTGTGGCTGCCTGGTCATTGTTGTGTATGCATTTTCAGTGGGGACAATAGCAGTTGGAGAGAAGCCCTGGAAATAGAGGAAGATTAGTGCACGATGGGCAGGTGCTACTGGAGGAAAGGAGATTGGGCTAGGGCGAGGGAGGGGAGGCCGGGAGAGTGTCCTTAAGACATACCATGTGTCATCCAGGAGAAGGAAGGACAGAGGGGGGCAGGTGGGAGAATGGCGAGAGGAGAATGAGGCATGTCTTGTACAGGTACCCATCCCTGACCCGTGTCATCATTATGTACTGCAAATGTGAACTGTCAAAAATTAAAAAGGCTGCATTGTTTATGAATACACTGCCTTATTCCAGCATCTATTCTCACGTTCTTGTCAATCTCATGATGACGCATGTATTAATTGACCTCATGCTCATGAAGGTGACTCACAATTCAGGTCTCCAATCCCTTGGTCATACCTGTCCCATGAAGGCAATGATGGCAGAGAGGAAGCTACTTGGGGGCTAGCTCTGGGCCAATGGCCCCTCTGTGGTTTGCTTCCTTAGCCCTGTGGTCGCCAACTCTCGTCCCCAGGGACCTGGGCATAGCCCAGTGCAGTGGTCCTTGTGGCACCCGTTGGGAGCTGTTGTGCTAGTCAGCTGTCTGCTGCGGTGAGAGAATCCCTGAGGAACTCACTCAAAGGTAGGGAGGTCGTTCCTGGCCCCAGTTCAGAGGCTTCACCTCAACGGTGCTCCCCCTGACCCTCCTTTGGGCCTGTGGTGAAGTGGGAATGTCGCGGCACAAGAGCCTGGCAGAGGAAAGCTGCACACTTCGTGGTCACCCAGGAGACTCCTCCCAAACTTCCCACCCCTCCATGGAAGAAGCGCTGATGAGCTCAGGCCCCTCAGGGTCCTAGCACCTCTGTGGCCCCTCTGAGCACTGCTGCTTCAGGGACCAAGCCTTCCACACACGAGTTTGTAGGCGCCTTGCAGATCCAAAGCACAGCCCGGCTTGCAGCGAGGGAGCCAGGCTTCTGTGTGGGAGGCGGGCAGGTGCCGGGGGTGGGCCAGATCGGAGTTCTGGTTTGCTGGTGTCTGCACAACCACTCTTTGCGCATGTGTGAAAGCCTGAGTTCAATCCCTGGAGCCGCAAAAAGAAACAAAGAAATGAAAGACTTCCAAGGATTCAGTCAGAGATCTGCCATCCCCAGCCCCCATCCACCAGCCTCACTGGCCTTGTTTGCTTTTTTGTTTGTGTGTTTGTGTTTTGAGACAGGGTCTCACAATGTCATTCAGGCTGGCTTTGAACTTGAAGTGATCCTCCTGCCTCAGCCTCCTGAGTGCTGGGATGACAGACGTGCGCCACCACTCCCGGCGGTGTTTTCATACTTTGAATACTCTTGTGTTTATAGACACAACAGGTGGTGTTTTTTTAACATCTCTATTGAGATACAATTTACATGTTATAAAATACACCATGTTAACTGCATTTCAGTGGTTTTTATTAAACGTACTGAGTCGTGCAACCATTACTATAATCCAGTTTTTTGCTTGGTTTAAGTAACAGCCATATGGAGATATTGTTCGCACCCTACCAATCTTGCCCGTTTGAAGGTACAGTCCAGTGGGTTTTAGTGGATTCCCTGAGTCGTTCAGCCAGAGAACCCTGGGGGCAGTAGCACTCCCTCCCTGCCCGCCCCGCCAGCCCCAGCCTGGACATTATGCGCACTTGGTCGCCTTCCGTGGAAGGATGGCTTCGTGGAGTCACTGCCGCTTGCAAAGCTCCGGGCCCAGAAGCACCCTCAGTATGGAGGTTAAGCTCTGCAGCACAGTTACTAGAGAGGACCTAGATGGAAGACAGAGCTGACAGTGTGCTTGTGACTGGGTGGCCTCTCTGAGGCGGGGCAGGGAGGCAGGCCCGGGAGCAGCAGTGGTCTTGAGCACTCTCTTGTCTCTCTTGCCCCTGAGACACGCACTGGTGGTGGAACAGATGGACGACCACCTGCAGAGGCATCGGAATGAGATTTACCACTTCCTGCAGAGCCTGGTGTGCACTGAAGAGAAGATGGCATACCTGTCCTACGAGCAAGCCAAGGAAATGTGGGTGAGAGCACCCCTCCCCGCTGCCCTCGCGACCCAGGGCCGGCACCTGTTTCCAGAAAAGCTGGGGTGGGTGGGAACGGCACCCCCATGGGGTGCTGGCGCTGTTGGCACAGGAAGGGCCTCCCGTGTCTCTCCCTCCCATCCTTGGCCCCAGCCCAGCTGGTTGCTCCATCCCTGCTATACCTGTACCCCTCCTCGGGTGCCTGTCCCGCACTTCCGGGGACAGCTCTGCCCTGTGTTTGCCACCTACAGGAGGTCATGGAGGCTTTCAAGAGCAGGCTGGCCAGACTGGAGGCCACGCAGCAAGCCACCCAGGTGGAGGTGACAACAAGGCTGTGGAGTGGCCCCCGGGAGGTTTTGCTCCGCTTCATGAGCCTGCTGCTTGTCCTTGTCTGCGTCGTCCTGGCGTGCGTCTCTACCGTGTGCTCCTGCCCTCTGCCCCCGGCCACTTGGCACCTGCGCACGTGCACTGTGCTCATACTGCTTGGGCTCGGGGCCCTGGCCTGGCAGAAGCAACATGCCATTGCTGCCACAGACTGGCAGGTGTGGGTCCCTTCCAGGTGGAGGCTGGATGCCGAGAACTCCAGGCCTCCATCAGGAGGACCTCCCGGGGCTGGTTCCCTCCCTCCTCCTGCTGTCCCTTTCTGATCCCTTGGTCATCCTGCACTTCCATGTTGCCACCTGGAGGTGTGGGAGTGTGGGAGATTAAAGCCCACTCATACCTGGCACCAGGACCCCTACGCAGCAGTGGCAGCCTCTGTGATTTGCTTGGTTCTGGCAAAGAGCGATTCCTTTTATTTCACAGGGATAGAAAGAAAGGGGGAGAGGCGCCCAGAGCCGCAGTGATTGGGCAGGAGGGAGGCAGCCCTTATGCAGGTGACACTGAAGACACAGAAGAGGCCTCCGTTTTGGAGGCGCTGGAGAGCTCGGAGCTGTCCTCAACCTTCTTCGCAAAAAGCTGCAAGATGCAATTTCGAAACTGGAAGGATAGAAAGTGTCACTCAGCACAGCAGGTAGGTCTGGGCCACTGGGCCGAAGGCGAGGCCTGGGGTGTCCCTGAGTGTCACCTGGCTGATGTAACACCTCTCCTCTTACCACTCCCACTTCTGTCTGGGGTCGGGTCGTTCTGTGTACACAGGACAGTCATATGTATCACCAAATTCAGCAGTTGATGGTCACTGCTGTGGGTTGATTTGTGTCCCCTAAAAGCTGTGTTCAAGTCCTGGCCACTGGAACCTGTGAGTGTGCCCTTGTGTGGAAATAGTCTTTGTACTAAGATGATATTCCTAGCTACCTGGGAGGCTGAGATGGGAAGATTGGAAGTCTGGGGCCAGCCTGGGCAACTTAAGCATGATCCTGTCTCAAAATCAGGAATGACAAGCGCCGAGGGTGGAGCATGGTAGGCAAGTACACCTGCCCGGCACCTGGAGACAGTTTAGGGAGCAAGGATGTGACTGGCATGTTCCTAGTCCAGCAATTTGGGCTCGAGGACTAGGTCAGGGACGCTGTAGCCCTCTCCCTCTCCTCTCCCCGCATCAGCAGGGTCTGCTATGTCTCACATCAGCACCACGCTGACCACAGAGCTTTGAAACCTGGAGTAGGACAGGGTCATCATATTTCGGCCTGTTTCCGATAACTTCAATTCCTCCCATCACCCAGACGCTCCAAAGTGAAGCGCGCCAGTGTTGGGATTCACAAGAAACAGACTAAATAGCAGAATAGACTCAGCTGCAGAGCTGGTGAGTCAGGCTGGGGAATTTGGTCAACGAATTCAGCCAGTATTGACCTCACTGAGTACCCATGCTGTGCCAGGCTCTGTGTTCTGGGGTACAGCAGTGAACATCAAGAGAACATCAGAGAACATCCCTGTCCTCATGGGCGCCCACACTGGAAAGTTCCCTATGCACATGGCAAGATGAGGTATCCCTGGAGCAGGCGGAGGCCCCTTGGGAAGACTGTAGAACCCAGGAGTACAGACATCTGTCCCCTGGAGGGGCTTCTGGAAGGGAGAGGGGAGAGCCAGAGACGCCGTGTGCCAGGGTGCTCCAGAATTCCCGAGGCGCAGCCAGCCCTAAGACCCTTGCGAAGACAGCAGACTGGCAGGGGAGGAAGTGCCCAGAACTCGATCGCAGGTGGAAGAGGAGGCCTGGGGTGCAGCGCTTGGCACTGGGCTCCAGCCCCAGCACACGAACAAACAGAAGACAGAGAGCTGGGAATAGCAGCGCACGCCTGCCATCCCAGCACTTGGGACTACAAAGAAGACCCTAGCTGACACACACACACAAAGGAAACACCTTGTAACTGCGCAGAAGACTCTAGGAACCATGGGCCACTTGCTGCCGATGCCCAGTTCTCCGGCTCAGGATGGCTGCAGTGGGGGAAGTCCACAGTGTGTCCACCTGAACTAACTCAGAGGGCCTGCCTACTTACGGGAGGACAAATTCGAGGAGCCAGGGCTTGCAAATGGAATGTGCAGAGGAAATGGGTCTGTGAGGACGAGGGGCCCCTACAGCAGCCCGTGTGCCGAGGGCTCCGCACTCAGTCCCTCGGGGTTCTGAGTCTGCTCACCTGCCGGTTCATGAAGACATAGATGACAGGGTTGTAGATGGTGGCGCTTTGGGCAAAGTAGGATGGCAAGGCAGCCACCAGAGGGTGGAACGAGTAGTGAGGATGGGCAGCGGCGAAGCACGCGAAGAAGGCATAAGGCCCCCAGCAGAGGCAGTAGGCTAGGACCATGACCACCACCGTGCGTGTCACCTCCTTCTCAGCTTTCTGGGTGGACTCGGACTCTTTCTGCTGCTTTGCTACCTGCAGGAGGTGGGTCGCTGAGTGGGAATATGCCCGGGGCTCAGCTGCTTGGGCTGAGAGTCACAGAGGTGGCACAAGGAGGGTGGCTGGGCCAGCTTCCACCTGTGGTCAGCGCAGGACCCACTGGGAGGGCCTCAGAGCAGGACCCGAGAAGCCCCTCGTCAGTGTCCCCTTCCCAGCTCTTCCACTCTTAGCAGGCTGCTGGGGGCGTCACTCCACAGTGGGGTGCTTGCCTGGCACACATGGGGCCTGGGCCCACCCCCCAGCACTGCGTGCACACACGGAACATAAGGACGGGTGAGAGCACAGATGTGGTAGAAAGCAGGGAGGGGCAGCTCCGGTTAAGGCGGGGACTGGCAGAGTGCCCAGTGTGATGCCAGACCCCTAGCTCTGCCACACAGAATGGGTTCTGATTCGTGACCGCCAACTGGGGCCCCAAGCAGGCTGCAGCCCCATCAGTGAAGTGGGCGAGAGACCTCAAGCACCTGCCCACAGTTGGCACGGAGAGCCGGCCACATGCTGGGAACAGATCAGCTCCCCAGGGAAAGGGCTGGGTGCGCCCCAGTGGCTCCAAAGAGGACAGGGGGGCTCCCCCAGGAAACAGGGGTGGGCCTCTCTCCAAACGCGGGACCTCACCACCCGGATGGCCAGCCACACATGCAGGTAACACAACACGATGACGCCGAGCGGGATAACGCAGCAGGTAACCATGAGCACCATCATGTAGGACTGCACGCCGGGGTGCGAGGTGCCACTCAACACGTCCGGGCCGCAGGAGGTCTTCAGACTGTGGGGCCAGTACCTGCGCGTCACAGTGCTGCGAGACCACCACCTCTGCCCCAGAATGTTTTCACCCTCCCAAGAGAACCCCCAGGTATGATTCTCGACAGATCTTTGCTCATTTTCAGGTCTGTGTCTCTTTCTGTCTTTTCCTTCTCTCCCATAATGGGGGTGGGACCCACGGCCTTCACACTGAGCTGCATCCCCAGCCCTTTTTAAATTTTTCATTTTGAGACAGGATCTCACTCAGTTGCTCAGGTTGGGCTCAAACTTGCCATCCTCCTATCTCAGTCTCCCAGAGTGCTGTGATTACAGGTGTGCACCACTGTGCCTGGCTTTTTTCTCTTTATGCCAGTAAAATACACGTAGCATGCAATTTTCCACTACGACATTCGGAACTTTCAGTGTTTGTCGTACAGCCATCACCACTCTGCTTCCCAGGGATTTCCGGCACTAGAATGGGCCTCAGCCACAATTCCATGCCACTGCCACATTTGAGTGACCCCCCCAGCACTGCGGGAGGCTGGAAGCCCAACAGCCACATGCTGCACATGCGGAGGAGTCACCCGCCAGCACCCTGGCACACTTACCTGCTCCAGCCAAAGAGGGGTGGGGCCATCCACACCGCAGACCAGACCCAGGAGAACACAATGTCCACAATAGCCAGCTTGGCATCAAACCGCACGTTACCAAAGGGCTTGCACACCACCAGCCACCTCTCCCAGGAGATGATGGCCAGGGACCAGAGGCCTGTGATGCCTGCAGATGGGGGCCCTTGGCCTGGGGCCACCCCACTGAGCCCCCGACTCCGTCCCTCCTCCTCCGCTGCCACCACTTGGCCGCTGAGTTTGGTGCCTGCCAGGCATGGGAGCCAAGGCTGCTGTTGTCCCAGCAGAGCAAGGAGACGGGCGGCCTTGGGTTTTCTTCCTTCCAGAGCAAGTGCGCTAGTGTCAGCCGCACCTCTGACCGGGCCACCAGGAAAAGGCGTGCTTTTCATGTCCCTTTCTAGAGGTGGCGACTTTTCAGAATCTCACTCACTTTCTTTGCTCAACTGAAACTTTACGGTGTCACTAATGTTTCAATAATAAGTACTTTTAATACTGAAATTTTCTTTCTTGTTTTTCTAGGATTTTTTTTTTTTTGAGACAGGGGTCTGGCTATATACTCCAACCTGGCATTGAACTCATAAGTAGCCCAGGCTGGGCTTGAACTCACAGTGACCCTCCTGCCTCAGCCTCCCAAGTGCTGGGATGACAGGTATGTACCACCACACTCAGCTCTAATACTAGTAAAACTCTGTTGTCACTAATCCTCATTTAATACTTTGGTAACTGTTTTTGTGGAAATTTATTTATTATTAATAATCTTAGAGCTAGGTATGGTGGCATACAACTGTCATCCCAGCACATGGGAGGCTGAGGCAGGAGGATCTCTGCAAGTTTGTGGCCCGTGTAGGCTACACAGTGAGTTCAAGGTCAGCCTGAACTACACAGCAAGACTCTGTCTCAAAAAAACAAAATAATGGTCTGGGGATGTAGCTCAGTGGCACCAAGCCTGCCTCACAAGTGAAAGGTACTGAGTTCAATCCCAGGACAAAAACAACAAAAACCTAATAATAATAATAATAATAATAATAATAATAATAATAATATTCTTTCATTGGTAACAGTTTTTCAAAATAACTGACTGCCCTTGTGACCCGTTGTTTGTGTTTCAAACATTCTGGGAGAGCTGAGGATATCTGTGGCACGAAAACTTGGGCAGAACTGGTGGCTATTCAACTCCTGAATGGGACAAAGACTTATCGTGAGGAGCAGGAGTGGTGTTGCACACCCGTAAAGCCACCACTCAGAAGGCTGAGGCAGGAGGATGGCCACAAGTTGGAGGCCAGCCTGGGCTTCATAGTAAGCTCAAGGCCAACCTAAAGTACATAACGAGGCCTCGTCTCAAAAACCAAAACTAAATCAATCAGCGCTCAGAGGGAAGCCTGCAGAACCCCCACCCGCGGTGACCTTGCTCACACTGGGCCACTCAGCCCACCTTACCACACAGGGAGACGGTGTAGCCCTCCACCATGCACAGAGGATGGCCCAGCACGAAGTAGCCATAGATCTGGTTCACGACGCTGATGGTGCCAGTGATGAGTGTTTCTGTTAGGTCGGTGACCGCCAGGTTCACAAGGATCCAGTTCAGGGGGTGGCGCAGCTTCTTGAAGAGCATAGTGGCCACTAGTACAAGCCCATTGGTAAAGGCAGACGCAATGACCACAATGATCATCCAGGCGCTGGTGAGGCGGTACACCCACCTGGGTGCGATGTGGTGTTTGGGGCCATGGAAGGGGCCTGCGGGGGGGGCAGAACCCCCATGCTGCGCCCTGATCCTGCCTGTCCTGCACCCCCTCCCTGGGAAGCAGATACCCTAGAGCCGGCACGTGGAGGCCTGAAGGCTGGCCCCCCGCAGGGCCCTTGCCCTCTTCATCCCGGCGGAGCCTTGCTGCTACCTCATGGGGTCCCGTGGAGTGTGATTTAGATTCAAACGCCCAGGTGTTGACAGCCAAGCCACCCAGTGGCACAATCCTGTCAGGGACAGTGGCAAGGGACAGTGGCCCGGCCACATGGCAGGTTCAGTGTAATTTATGTGCTCTGGGCAGCAGTGCTGGTGTCACTGTTCTGGGACTAGTGTTTGCATGTGGGCAGATCTGTGCTGCGACTACAGCTAATGACACACGAGTCTGTTCTGACTCATAGTGGGGACAAGGAGATTCAGATGCAAACTCCACAGCACGATGCAACACAACTTGGGGACAGAGAAATGCAGAGAGGACTGTGGCCCTTCTTCCTCTCCCATGCATGGTGTCACCACGAAACAACAGACCCCTGGAACGCTGTGCCACCCTTGGCCTGGGCCATCCCAGCTGCCAGTACCCCAAGAGTGGCCATCTCAGGGGACTGTCCACTTGAGGCCCTGCTGGGGTTTCCGGGAAAAACAAGGTACCGGGTGTGCCTTCTCTAGCCTCCCAGCCTCTGACTCCAGGAAGCCCAGGGCCAGCAGATTCCCTGAGTTGCTAGTTGGCCTCTGGAGGAGCAGAGGGAGTCAGTGAACTCTGGGATGGGTTCTCAAAGCCTACGCAGATAAACCTATGCAGCTTACAAATTCACAAGCTGAACCTATGTGACGGGCGTGGTGGCACACACCTGTCATTCTACTACTCAGGAGGCTGAGGCAGGAGGATCTCCACGAATTCAAAGCTGGCTTGAACTACATAGTGAGACTGTCTCACAAAACCAGAAAAGTAAATAAATAAAACAATAGCTGGGCCGAGGATTTAGCTCAGTAGTGCTGCTGCTTACCTTGCAAGCACAAGGTCCTGAGTTCAATCCCTGGTACCAAAAAAAACAGTAGCTGTTGTGCTATGTGATGTCATCATGGCACCCCACTCACCTCGCGTGGAGTTGCTGTTGGTGTAGGTGAACAAGTTGGCCTGGGTGCTGTCCTCGTGGGCATCCTGCGCCTGTGCGCCGGCCAGCACGTATGGGCCCCAGTGCTGGACCATGGCTGCAAAGACTCTGTCCCTGCTCATTGCGGGCAGGGCACGCTTTATACCCCACTGGATGAGCCGCCACTCAGCTCCTCACTGGGAGGCTCCCAAACTCTGCCCCCTCTGATCCCTTAATTGGGCCCAGACTTAGACCTCCCCTCAGGCCAGCCAGCGAGGGCAGGCAGCTCAAGAGGATTTGCAGCAACCGGACCAGGACCTCGCCTGCCCCCTGTCCAGGGTCTGCTGTTCCATTAGGCTGAGCCCCATGCCCACATCCCCTTTTTATTTTTTGGCTGTTTTGGAGACAGGATCTCACTCTGTAGCCCAGGCTGACCTCACACTTGCAGCAATTCTCCTGCCTCAGCCTCCTGAGTGCACCACCACACCCTGCAGACCCCCTTCTCTGTAGAGATCTGGCAGGGATGAGGCCCAGTGCGTTCTCTCCCAGGGCCACTGGGCCACAGCCACCTTGGTGACAGTCTATAGACGGCTGACCTGTTCTCCCACCACAGTCCTGCTCCCTGCTCCTTTAGCACCTCCGTCAGTGCCCACGTCATCACTGCGGTCCCCAGAAGGACAACTGCTCCTGGGACACAGGGGAGCCCCGGCTGCAGGGCTTGGGGCCAGAACCAGGCAAGACCTGATTGGTACCATAGCAAGGACAGCTGCCAGGTGCCAGGCTTGGGATTATGGACAGAATGGAAGGGTGCTGATGCAGCCTTGCCACTAGGACACATGTGCACCTGAGAGCTTGTATTCGGGTAGCAACAGCAACACTCTTCACGGGAGGCTAAGAGGGAGAAACAACCCAGGTCTATCAACAGATGAATGAAACATGTGGCAGAATGTTACTCAGCCGTGAAAAAGGAATGGGGAGCTGATCATGCTGCATCGTGGCTAAATCTCAATGCATGCAAATGTTTGCAAAGTAGGACTGAAAGCCAGGTGTGGTGGCACATGCCTGGCGTCCTAGCATTCCAGGAGGTTGAAGCAGGAGGATCACTGAATTGGAGGCTGCCCCTGAACTACACAGTGAGACCCTGTCTAAACAAAACATGAAAAGAAAAGAAAAAAAAGAAGAAAATTAGAGCTGGGGATGTAACTCAGTTTGCTTAGCATGCATTAGGCCTGGGTTCAAGTCCCAGTAGCCTAGCCCCCAAAATGATCAAAAATTGAATTGTGAATGGTGCAGCTACTGTGGAAAATAGGTTAGCAGCTCCTCAAAAAATTAACCAGTTTACCAAAGAATTATCACTTTATCCCAGAGAAATGATCCTAAGTAGCTCCTTGGCCTGAAGCTATTAGTGACAAAGCTCACGGCAGGCTTGACGGCTGTGCACCAAATGAAGGTGACAGGGGCCCTGGGGTCCCTAATTAGTTCTCACTCAGGAGCCCGCTGCAGAGGCCAGATGAGAGACTAAGAGGGATGACGCAGCTGAATCCGGCGGGAGCTCAGCTGCAAAAGCCGTGCTCTTCTGCCATCTTTCTTTTCTGTTGTTGGAGACACAGTCTTGCTGTGGAGCCCAGGCTGCCCTACAACTCGCAGGGATCCTCCTGCCTCAGCCGCCCATCCTCTGCTGGGACCCCAAGGGTGCCAAACTTTCCACCTTGCCTGTGAGCCCTTTGGGACAGAGGGGGTCCGTACAAGTGGGACTCTGGTTGCCCCCACCCACCCTGAAGACTTGTCTTGGCTGGGCCGCTGGGCCACCGAAGGCAGAAGCCAGGAAGTGGGGGTCGGTGCTAATCGAGGATTGGGGCTAGCAGGAGATCAGAGCCCAACCGGCCTAAAGCAGCTTAGTGCCCGCCTACCTGCTGGAGAGTCCCCACGTCCCCAAGGCCCTGCACCACACTTACAGGAGTTGGGGCAGTCAGACCTCAGGCTGTCAGGCTGTCCCTAATCCACCTTCTCCCCTCCGGGCCGCCCCACCCTGGCTGAGCTGATTAGGGTCCCCCGCTATCTGTCACCTTCATTCAGCCCTCAGCCCCATCCACCTGGCCCTTTGTCTTTGAAGGTAAAAGACGCACGACACCAAATTTGCCATCTGCAGCACCATTAAATGTCCCTTGGCGGTGTGGAGCAGTTACCTCACCAACATTCATGAAGCCCTGACTCCTTGCTCTACCTGCTCTCGTCCTGCTTATGGTGGCCTTGGCAACTCTAGGTACCTCCTAGATCAGAGTGCTACAGTTTGTCTCTATTTTCTGGCTTCTGTCCTTAAACACTGTGTCCTTCAAGGTCATCTATTGCCTTTCATTTGTATTGGGAATAGATTCAGGTCTGGGTTTGCTTTTTTGTTTTTTGAGACAGGGTCTGGCTATGTAGTTCAGGCTGGCCTTGAACTCTCTGTAGCCCAGGCTGGCCTCAAACTCGCAGAGATCTTCCTGCCTCAGCCTCCCAAGTGCTGGGATGACAGACATGTACCACCAAACCCGGTTGTATTGGGTTTCAGACTCACACAACAATTCACATTGCTTTTCAATCTGGCTGTGTCTATGGGGATCGTCTTCCACAGCGACCCCGGCCTTTCAAACTCACCCCCAGCAGGCAATGAGGGGCACCCAGAAGGTCTGAGTGCAACTCGTCAGCACCGCAGTTCTGATCATTGTTAGGACCACACGGTTACCAGGGAGAAGACACCCAAAGTTCTCTTAGTTTGCAACATCACAACACTGTATGCAGGAAAAGGCTTGAAAATTATTTTGATTATTTCTGTCTTCATCTCTTTTTCTTTCTTTTGCTCAGGCTGACCTTCAACTCCTGGACTCATGCCATCCTCCTGCCTCCCAAAGGACAGAGACTACAGGCCCATGCTCAGTTGTGTGTGTGCGTGAGTGTGTGCACCAGGGACTGAACCCAGCCCTTCACACTGAGATACATTGTACTGAATTTTTTTCTTGCCAAGAAGAATCTTGCCAAGGTGCTAAAGCTGCCCAGGCTGGGCTCAAACTTGTGACCCTCCTGCCACAGCCTCCCAAGTAGCCATAATTACAGGAGTGTGCTGCCGTAATTGGTTTATTCCAGACAGGATCCATATTTACAATCTAATTCAGAACCAAGCCTTAGGTTGTAGAGAATTTCTACTGAAATTAAACTACTTAGTGTTTACTTTTTAAAGAGGCTTCAAAACATGTATTTTTCAAAGCCCTCCACAAAAGAACAAAATACTGAGGGGAACAAGGGCGTCAGGGTTTGGCGGGGGCAGGGCTGCACTGGACGGCAGCTTGTCCGCTTAGGCCCAGCGGGGCCTGCCGGGAAAGTGGCGGCAGGGCCTCCTGGGCACCACACGCGCAGCCGGCTGGGCAGTGTCGCTTCTCCAACATTGTCACCGCTGGATGAATATGAAGTGTAAGCTGTTTTCATCAAACTTCAGACAAGATTGGGCTTTGAAGCTGGGTTAGGCTAGGGACTGGTGTGTCTGTCTCTTGTCTCCTCCTCCCCGCTTCTTCTTCTTCTTTTTTTTTTTTTT